GCTATACATATGTAGATATAGCCTTCTCCAAACCTACAGGAGGGTCAGCTATGAATGGATTATTCTAACTTGACAGTAATGAGTGAGTGTTTGAGTGTTTGTATACTTAGAGTGTCTCAGAACTACCTTTTGTCTCGCCCTCACTTAGCAGATGATGGATTCAGTGTGCCTTTTGCTGTCAATGCAACTCCTAACATATTAGGCCACCAGAGCTCCATTATTGAAGTAAATTTATGCTTGAAATAAAATGAAAGAAAGGAAATAAATGCAGACATTTTATAACATTTTTCTTTAAGTATTAGAACAAAGAGTGCTTCAGATTTCTATTCAAATCATAACAAGTATTAGTTATGTACGACATTTCTTTACTACTCATTTTAGATATTTAAATTCTTTCCAGACTAGGCTGAGGATTATTTCTGAAATTACTCTGAGAGATTTAGGACTCACCTGAATAATCCTCTGTCCATTGTATGTCATCATAGAAATGAATGTCTCCACGTAACCCTGGTCCAGGTGAAAAGGCATGAGCCAGAGCAAATGCAGGTATGTCAAAAAATCCATAGTCTTTATGATCTAATAGGCAAAAATTTTATATCAGACAAAAGAGAAATGAGATTTTTTCTATGTTTTCTAATAAAATAACATCTGCTAAATGTGTATTTATAGTTTTAAAATTATTAATATTTTTTACCTCTACTCATAAAAGAGATCATTATGTCAGCCTCTCCATCATAAAGCCTAGAGAACATGAGAGGAGTTGCCACCTCCCAGAGTTTCAGAGCTTTCTCAATGGCAAAGTCAGTAGCATTTCTTGATAGCTTTGGTATGTAGTTCACAATTCTGTAAATGAAAAAAGAGCAGACATATTCTTCTATTACAGTAACTTTAAAGTTTTCACAGTATGTAAGGACTGTGGAGCCATTACCTGTAAGTAAGATTAGTTTTCCTCCACTTGCGTAAGCCTGGATATCTAGAGATGGGACTAACATTTGGAACTCCACATATGGTCTTATGCATTACTTGTAGGGTGTCAGAGTCCCACTTCTCCATCACCTTCAACCCTGGGGACCTCTGGATTTCTTGTGTTTTTTTAACCACAGCACTGCTGCCATTTCTTCTCACAAATTCTTTCACATCATTTCCAAGATCATGGTCATTTTCAAGGTATTTCTAGATAGAATAAAAGCATAGATTTCAAGTAACTTTCATAAATGTCTAGAGTTGCCCCAATTTCATATTATGCTTTAATTACTCTCTAGTTGAAGCAAAAGTAAATGTTGTTGTTGTTGTTAAGTGCTGTCAAGTGTTGCAGATCAAGGGTAAAGTAATTTTATTAATAATGAGACAGACAGCCAGGAATGAGATAGAACAGAGAGCATAAAACAGGGGGCCAGCAGTTCTCGACTGAAGACCCCCATTCCAGCTTCCCTGTATCTTTACTGAAAATTATCAGGAAGTAAATCACAAAGAAAATTCAATGCAAATGAAGCTAAGCTCTTTCTCTTGAAAACCTTCCTCCAGACTCAGGAGGGAGGGGTCAGCAAATACAATGCAAGATTCCTGTAAACCCTTAAGGATTGCCTTAGTGCCTCAGGGTGAACTCTAGCTTGAACTGTGCCTCCCCCACATCCTGAAATAGCAATTAGTTTATTACAAATATTTAGTACTGGCTTCCCATAGTCAGGCATAGGCAACTCATAGCAACCCTATGAACGAAAGACCTGAACACTTGTATAACTTTCATCCTTTCTTCATGTTCACAGGATTTCTGGAGGCAAGCTATTTTGGAAGTGGATGCCACTCTTGTGTACAATCTTGTTTTAATTGGGCAGCTCAAATAAACACTGTCCACCATGGGTAACCATTACCACGTTTGACACATGAATATCACAGCATTCAGCATCACATCAACCATGAGTTACCTCTGTACAGTAAGTGGGCAGACCAGGGCTATATGACCTAAAAGAATGTTTGACCAAAAACAATTAAAAACAGGCCTGTGGGCCATAGATTAAAGTTACCCACCTTTGGCTTGGTAGCATCACTTTTTGTCCAGTAGGCCAACTGAGCTCTCTCTATGTTGTTATTGTTGTTAAGTGCCATTGAGTTGTAGAAAACTCATAGTGACCCTATGAACAAAAGACCTGAACACTTGTATAACTTTCATCCTTTCTCTAGGTTCATAGGGTTTCTGGAGGCACACTATTTTGGAACTGGATGCCACTCCTGCTTCAAAGCTTCTGAGGGCCATACCGAATTTAAGAACCAGAGCATGGTTCAAACTCCATGAACTCCTTTATTCCAAATTCCTCTATAATCATGCATTCTCATTGACTCTCACCACCCAAAAGTGCCCATCTTGGAGCATTCCTCTGTTTTTTCAACTTTTTCCTGTTCTGATACCACATGTTTCTTCAAAGAGTCTTACTTCTTTAATGATTTGTCTTGTCCACCATATAGACTGAGTACACAGGAGGGAAGGATACATATATAAACAGAAAATGAACAAAGGTCTGAAGCCTTTCTATAACTATCATTGTTTCTCCAAATTTTTAGACTTTCCATAGGCATGTAGTTTAGGAAGTGGATGTCAGTCCTGTTTCTAAATCTGAATCAATCTGGGAGCTCCAACAAAAACTACCCATGATGGGTAGCCAATTAGGGTGTTTGACACACCTCTGGCCTGGTTGTCCATCATCACAGGAATTTTATGTTATTTCAGTAGAGCAAATAGGCCATCCTAAGGTCCAGCTTGAACCGAAATTCATAACACACTAGCCCTCAGCCTACAGAAGTGGCCAAACATTTCAGTATTTTAACATTCCAGCTAGCCCAAATGCTGGCAGACTCTGGGCCAGACACTTCCAATTCATGTGTCAAGTCCCCTCTGCTGACTTGAGATGAAAAGAAAACCATAAGAGCCCTGAGCATTCCATACGGGTCCTTCCTCAAGATGTGGAAGGCCATCCTAAAGTCCAGGAATTTAAACTGCTTGACATGGGTTGACAGAGTAACTCTTTACCACTAGGCCACTGAGCTCCCATCTCTTAGTCCTTCTGTGGGTCAAATGGTTAATATTTCTGGTTGCTGATATTTGACACTGTTGTTGATTGCTATCGAGTTGAGGTAGACTTATAGCAACTCTATGAACAAAAGACTTAATGCCTTTCCATAGTTATCATTGTTTTACACAAGTTCATATTGTTTCCAGAGGTATGTGGTTTAGGAAGTGGATGCCACTCCTACTTCCAAACCTGTTTTACAACTGGGATCTCCACCAAACACTGTCCACAATGAGAAACCATTATGGTATTTGATTTCCCCATGGCACAAAGTTCAGCATCATAGCAAACTCAGGTTACCTCATACAGCACATTGACAAAGAGTGATATGCAAAGAGGAAGAATGTTCCTCGAGATATAACAGCACTAGTCTCATTTAGCAGTGGTTAAATGTTGTCGAGTTGAATACGACTCAGAGTAAACTTTGCACAAAAGACCTGAACTCTATTCTATAACTAGCATAATTTCTGTACATTTGTAAGAGAATTAGTAGAGTTTCCAGAGACATCTAGTTTAGGAAGTGGATGCCACTCCTGTTTCTTAACGTGGATCAGTTTGGAAGCTCATCCAACCATTGTACAAAATGAGTAACCATTATGGTATTTGACACGACTATAGAACAGTGTTTAGCATGACAGCAACTCCAAGTTGTTCAGTACAGCAAATAGACAAGTGATTACTGTGTCTTTTAAAGAATATTCTTCTACAATTAATAAATTAATACAGGATTTTAAAGCCACGCTTTTGAGCAGACTTCCACCCTTAAGGTTAGTCTAAGGCTCAAGGGACACCCACTTGAGGGGGCAAAAAGAACAGTAACATACAACAAAAAGGACCCTAGAAACTTCCCTTGCATGATTGCCATCAAGACGAGACCACCATCGAGTTGGCCGCCAACCAGCCAGACAGCTGACTCCCAAAGTGGAGGTAGACTCCAAGGTCACAGACCCGAGGCCAACCCATAGACCCAGTGCCTCATCATCTATTTTAAAGTCACACTCTTGAGCACTTCTCCACCCTTACCCTTAGTAAATAGCACACTTAATCTAATATTTCTTCGAGACCTCTGTTTTAATTTTTTTCCCCTTGGTGGGTGGTGTGATTTCTGCTAAGTGATTTTATGATCACCTTGTGAAATTGTATCTTCTACCTGGGTTTTTTTATCCTGATCTGTTAATATGGGGAAAAAGAATTCTACTTCTAGTACTTTAATATTATCTGATCTTAAGTTATCCCAACACAATAACTTCTAAACTCAAACCACTCTACTTTGTGTTGGAAAGTCAAATGAACACATTTACTTCTCTATTTGGGCAGGCAATAGTTGTTGTAGTTTCTATCATTAATTACCTGGACAAGGTCAATGTTTGGTTCTTTCTTCACTGTCTTGTTCAGTGGGTAAGCCAAACAAGCTGGTAGACATAATAGCACACAGATCACAAGATTTTCCATTCTCATTGTCTTCACTAAAAGAATTCACCTTCTCTATTGCCTTCTCTCTAGTTTCTAGGGACAGGACTTATATAGAAGGACAATGCTTAGATCATGATATGTGTTTGGTGACTCATGTTTCAGTATGATTGTTTGCTATTGCTGTTTTAGATCTGAATGACACCAAGAATATTCACCAAAATTCAATGTGAAAATAACACAAACTTCAGCAGTAATTTCCCTTGATCTTCTCTATTTGCACAAGAGAATCTCCAGGGAATGCCATTCACGTTTATAAAGAGGACAAAATAATTTACATTTGTGTCTTTATTGAGAGGAAGTTGACAAGTCTGGTAAAAAGTTGAAAGGTCAGGCCTTCAAGTATAAACCGAAAAAAGGTGAGTCAGTAGTAGAACGTGTCCTCCAGGAACAACTGCCTTTTGTCATGAGATCTGAACTCCCTGGGGCCCAGCTACCAATACTGAACATTTTGATTTAAGATTCCAAAGAAGAATCCTTATCCAAAAACTGGAAATGCAGGAAATAATTTCAAATTACCATGGATTCTAGAGATTTTTCCTAGTCATGGAGGGTGAATGCCAAACAAAATTACTATATCTGAGATATGTACTTTCAAAATTGAACAGGAGTGTGCAGGAATATTCCCCTGAGCAGTGCACACTACCTCCACATCACTTGAGGTTGACTGGTTAGAATGCGGTCTTCAGGAATTTAAAGGTTCTTCTTTAGTTACATCTTCTTTAGTCACATCTGAAAAATAAACAATGAAGGAGAATGACAGAAGTAGAACCAGTTTCTTTGAAAAATGTGGTGCTGGAGAAGGATACAGAATATCCCATGGACTTCCAAAAGAATAAAATAGTCTGTCATGAGAAAGTGCAATCAGGATGGATGCTCCTTGGACGAAATAATAAAGAAACTTTGTCTCATATCTTTGGGCATTTTGTCAGGAGAGGCCAGTCCTTGGGAAAAAAGAATTCATGCTGGCAAAGGTCAAAGAACTAGAGTAAGGCCTTCAATAAGATACACTGACACAGTGACTTTAAGGACGGGTTTGAGCGTATTGTGAAGATGGCACAAGAAAAGACCAGGTTCAAATCTGTTATTCATAAAGTAGCCATTAGTTGCAGTTGATTTAATGACACTAAACACCACAACAAAACCTTAAGTCAGTACGGATTACTGATCCAGGCCTATCAACTTGCGGCCAAGGAATTGCTCTACAGCATTGAAAAGAATGGTCATCAATTTGAAAATCAAAGGGTTGGGGAATGACTTTCACAAATACATAATATTTGAAAATAATTTCTTTCGTATATAAAAATGAAGTGCATATTAATTCATTCAGCTCCGGGGGCATGTTTTTTAGGGAGTTGTTCTGATAACCCCAAATCGACCCTTTTATGATCGTTCTATTTCACCTGTACCTTAGCAGGAGAAAGATAGGCAATCTTTTCCTCTGTGAATTACCGCCTCTGAAAACCTGCTGGACAGTCAGCTATGCATCAGTGTTGAGTCAACCACAATGTGGGGAGATACAACCTCATTTAGAGGGCTATAGGGATTATGCTATATATTCATTTCCCTATATTGTTGTTAGATGGAGTATAACTTATAGAGTCCCAGTGAACAACAGATGTGAAACTGTCCTATCATTTGCCATTCTCACAATCTCTGACACACTTGAACTGATAGCTGTAGTCACCGTGTCAATTCACATGGTTGAGGGTCATCCTCTCTATTGCTGACTCTTCACCTTGCTATGCAAGATGACCCTCTTCAAGAAATAGCCTCTCCTGTTATCATGCCCAAAGTATGTAATTGAAGCTTTATCAATGTTGCAACTCCAAGGAGCATTCTGGCAGAACTTTCTCCAAGACATATCTGGTTTTTCTTTTGAAAGTACATGGTATATTCAGTACTTTTCTTGAATATTACAGTTCAAATCGTCAATTCTTCTATCATACTTATTCATCATCTAGTTTTCACAAGTATCTTGCTTGTTGTTGTTGTTATGTGCTGGCGAGTCCCCTGTGACTCATAACAACACTCTGTATAAGAGCTCTGAAGCCACCCTATCCTGAGCCAGTCTCACTCACTATAACAGACTTAATCCCATCATCCCGGTTATAGTGCTAATCTGTCTCATCCGAGGTCTTGCTCACCTGCACCATCTGTCCACACTTCTGAGGAGCATGATCCTTCTCCAAGGACTGGTTTTTCCTGGACACGTGCCCAAAGTATGTGAGATGGAGATTCAAAATCTTTGCCTCCAAGGAGAAACTTGGTTTCATTCTCTCCAAATAGTTCTGTTTGTTTTCTTGGCAGTCCTTAATGTATAAATGTTAGACCTATTTATTCCAATGCATATTTTTTGTTTACTTTACTTCTTTCATATTTTCTAAAAAAAAAAAAAAGATCTGAAGGATTTTGATAGATGGTGGTGGTGGGGGGAATAAACCAAAACACCTGAAAGAAAGAAAAGAAGGAACTAGTCCCAAAAAGGAACAGGCCTTTATTAATTGATCTGAGAGGGATGCCAGGTGACTGCTCTCAGAGAGGACCAGAATGCCAGAATGACCTACAGGCAGACAAAAAGCTTCCTTCTATAGGGGCTGTAGTTTCTATAGGATGGTAGTTTGCTCAGGAAGTTGAGATCAGGGTTCCTGTCAGGATCTGATCAGTCCAGGGCTTATCAGCCTCTGGTTATCTAGTCTCCTCAAGAGGATACGGTCAGGACTTATCAAGAAATAGGCCTGAGACTAAATATTTGCTCTAAACAGTGAACTGAGACATTCTTCCTCCAGATTCCATGTAACAAATGAACAATAAAAGTGTTGATAGGGAAGTATTAAGTTCAGATGATTCAAAGACATTCTATAACTCTAAAGAAAACTATTGTGCAGAACAAAGGTATAATACATAGTGGTATACTAGGATTGCACAGTGAAAATAGTTCATCCTAGGTAAAAGTAAGTAATGAGAGACACCATTAGTCAATAGAAAAATTAAAACAATATTAAGATAAGCCAAAATGTGGTATACTTTCATTTATTTGTATTGCCGTCAAGCAATTGTAGTTCTAAAGAACGTTGGTAATAAAACAGTCTTTTTTTAAAAAAAAAATTATTATTAATTTCAGTAAAAATTTACAGAGTTTGAATTCCCATTCATTCATTATTGTACTTTTCTCCCCTCCCAACCCTTCCTCCTAGTACACTACACTCTTGGAAAAGTAAAAGAAAAATTCTTTTATTGTTTTACAAACCCTCCCCCAGGTCCACTCCACTATGCAGCCTTCGCTCTGGACTCCTGTCATGACAAAAATACATAATCACATATCCCTTTTAAACAGTTTTCTCTCTCATCTGTTTCAATATTGTACACATTATTGAACCCATCTTTCTCAGTCTCTCCCCAACCCCAAGGTCAGTCCTGTTTTACAACAGTGGCACCATGCAGTATTTGTCCTTTTGTTCTGAGATACTCCACTCAGCATAACGTCCTCCAGAGTCACCCACTTTGAATAATATTGCAAGAGTTCCTTGTTTTTCAATGCAGTGTAGAATTTCATTGTGTGAATATACCACAACTTCTCTATCCATTTGTTTGTTGATGGGCACTTAGGTTGTTTCCAACTCCTTGCTATTGTGAACAAAACCGTGTGCATATATCTGCTTCGATGTCACTTATGTTCTCTTTGGGGTATATTCCCAGTAGTGGAATTGCTGGGTCAAATGATGTCTCTATTTACAACTTTTTGAGAAAGCACTATACTGCCTTCCATAGTGGTTGCACCATTTTACACTTCCACCAACAGTGAATAAGGGTTCCAGTTTCTCCACAAGCTCACCAGCATTCGTTGTTTGCTGTTCTGTTAAATTTTGCTGTTCTGACTGGGGTGAGATGATATCTCATAGTTGTTTTAAAAACAGTCTTTTATAAAAAGAAATACTTTGTTGGTCTAAGTTTTAGCTACCCAGTGGGGCCTTCCATCATGCAAATTTAATTGCACACATTTCTTTTCAGAAAGAGTAATCTAAAGAAGTTGCTACTAGTTTCATTTCAATTGGAAATAGTTTTCAAATGAATAATTCAGTCATACTGTTCACTTATTTGAAATTTTAAACTCTTAAACACAGTTTGATAGATTGGCAGAATTAAACTCAAGCCAGTATTTTTTATTCTATAAATATTAATATAACCATTTGCTTAAAATATACTCTTTTATTTAACTTTTCATTGTGATTTTAGTATAAAGGACCAATTGGTTTTAGTAGTTTTTCCATACTTTGTCATGACTTTGATTTCAACCTTCATGATGCAAAACGAGCCTTTCCACTTTCTTTCTGAGATTCCTGTTTACGTTTCTGCTTTTGTTTAACATTGATGTCTTTTCTGTCAGTTTCATCCCCAGAATAGTGTTACAGCTTTTTTTCTCTCTCGTGGTTGATTTCTCTAAGGAATAACTACCAAGCTCCATGGTGTTATTATTCACCCCTTGATGTTGTTGTTATATTCCATTTAGTCTCTCATGATTGAGATCAACTCTATGTATAACAGCTCTGAACCCTGCTCTATCTTGATTTGAGTTCATTTTCTGAAATACCCACCCTCATCACTCCAGTCACTGAGTCAATTCATCTCATTGAAGGTCTTCCTCTCTTGTGCTGTCCCTCCATACTTTCAAATATAATGTTCCTCTCTAAGGACTGGTCCCTCCTTGCAACATGCCCAAAGTATGTCAGATGAAGCTTCAAAATCATTGCCTCCAAGGAGCAGCCTGCTTTTACCCTCTGCAGGACAAAGCTGTTTGTTCTCCTAGCAATCCATGGTATATTAAATGCTCTTCATCAGTACCACAACTCAAAAGCATGAATTCTTCTGTCATCCTTAGTCACTGTCCAGCTTTTTGCTGTATAGTAAGTAATTGTGAAGACCGTAGCCAGGATCAGGTGCACATTTGTCTCCAGACTGACATTATATATATATTGCTCTTC